TCCCTATCAAGTAGCTCAGAACTAATTGGTTGATTATTAGGTTGTGGTGAGCTACTAACAGATCCCCAGATCATGACCGATCCGTATGTGTAACCTTATGATGATCTGCAAAACCTTCCCTGAAAATGTCTCTCTACAGAAAGCTGGGTCAACTTTTTGCGGAAGGCAATGTAAAAGCAGCATTTGAGAAGTTCACTGAACAACATCAATGCAACAAGTACTGCCGGTACTTTGATCTGCACACATTGACAAACAAAGACAACATGTGATAGAATAGATGCTTAGAGTGACGGCTATCAATACAAAAATTCCTATTTGGGTTTTAATAGGCTTACACGCAGTTACAGCATTGCATGGGGTCCTTTGGCGGCGGAGACTTGGCGGAGGCTGTTGAGTGTTCAGCGGAGACATTATTTGAATGTGTTCAAGGGTCCGGCAGCGCGCGGCATGGGAGCAAACAAGTAATCGAAAAGCATTCCATACGTCACAGACTCGTCTGCTCTGCCCGCAGTACCCCACCTGACGTGTCGACAGTGTGCTCGCGCTAGATGAGATTGACACCCTCCTCCGCCTCCCCTCTGTCCTCTCGAGTCCTGCTCAGCACCCAACCTCTTCGCCAACTCGCTTTCCCTCCCCTCCCAGCGCCCCGCATCCATCTCCCTCACCCACGCCAGCTTCGCCCCGTATACAGGGGAGCAGATGACCGACATCGTCCGCCGATAACACGGTCCTTCCTTTCTTCGCATGGGATACGCAGGTCGCCTGGCCAGGCTACGGGTCATATGCGCCCTCAGCGCAGTCCCGTGCACCTCGCCCCCAGATCCACAGTGAGCATTTCCCTCCGCCGCCGTCCTTCGTCTCGCTAACCTCTCGCCCAATCCCGCCCTCATCGCCGACGCGGTCAAGTCGAGACGAAGTGCAGCGTAGCGTCCGGGTCATCGCTGGCCGAACCCTTGGCTGGAGTCACGCCGGAGAGGATGGCTCAGTTGGCTAGCCTCCCCAGCGTCGTTCGGATCCCCTCGCCTCGATAGCTTCCACACGCCCATGGGAGAACCGTTCCAACACGACACCGTGTATCGTGGGACGGCGCTGCACAGAAACTCAGCTTCGTGATCACAGACATCTTCATCGGCGACGTCGCCGCGCCGTTCAGAGATGTACCACCTCAAGGCATGTATTGGGTGTCCTTTTCCGCCGCCTTCACGACGTTGTACGGTCCCCTTGCGGTGCGGGCAAGCAGAGGGCGACGTCGTGCGACGCTGGAGGGTCAGCCCAAAATGGGACGTTCATTCATAGCCTGCAAGGTATGTTCTGCGTGTTACCGGGAAGGCTCCGGACGGATGGGCCGAGAGGTATGCCCACTCCATCCGATGGCATTGTCACGTATGCGGCGTTCGACGCTTCCCTCAGGACCGTGGGTCTCCCGGGATGGATCGGTCGATCGCCGGTACCTACCCCCTTGTGAAGCGGTGTCCTGCCTTGGGTATGGGCTTCCCTCGGCCACCTCTAATCTCACGCTTACCGATAGGATGAAGGCGCGACCAACGGCCTGAAGGTACGCACAAGTCGCCCGCCCAATCTTCTCCCTTGGCCCACAGCTTCCCGCCTGTTACCTCACCCGGAAGGCGGCCGTGCACAAGTGGCAGATCCTACTTCAAGCAGCAGGGCCAGGCTCGTGACAAGGGCCCATCCGTCCATCGCCTTCCTCGATGAGGCTTTGGCGAAGTACGAGGTAACAACGCCTTGTACATCAGTTTTGGCCCGCTCATGTCGCCGCCGGAGCACCTCGGCTACCTGTTCGACGTCCTGCTGGATCTAGAAGAACCCATGCCCTTCCTCTTTGCTGCCGCATCTCCATCGTTGCAGCTCCCAGACAGCGTTCGCGAGAAAGTGGCTGCAAGTGGCCGAGGCCTCATCGTCCCGTGGGCTCCCCAGCAGACTGTGTTCCAGCACCTGGTACGTGATCTTGTGTTCTGGACCCGCCGTGCCCTCATCGTCTGCAGGCAACAGGCTGGGTGATCTCGCATTGCGGCGCGGGTGGAACTGCGGAGGCGCTCGCACAGGGCATGCCCCATAGGGTTAGTTTGCGCCGTACTCAACGCGCTGATGATAGTCTTTCAAATCAGACTAACCTCAATCGCAAGGGCGTGTAACTCAGGGGTAGAGTGCTTGCTTCGCATTCCTGCTTGCATGAAGTCGTGCGTTCGATTCGCACCTCGTCCAGTTCTTTTTCGCCTTTTGTGGCCCGCGTTGTTTCCGCTTCAGGGTTCTCTTTTTTTTTCGCCTGTACTTCCGCTCTGCCGCGCACGCCCGCCAAATACCAGCCTCAGCCATGCGTTCTCGGCACGCCCTGTGCGAGGGCTTCGTGCAACCGCCCGCACCGCAGTGCGAGTGCGTCCAGCCTGTCGCCCGGCAACCTGTCTGACGGGCGATCATATTCCGGATGGTCCAAATGGCGTGCTTCGGGCCCAGTGCACGATCAGATCGCCGCGACATTCCCAACTAGATCCAGCCCCAGCTGTGCTGTGCTGATCACAGAACTACATGGCGAACTAGTGGTAAAAAAGTGCCCGCGTACACCGTTACTGGCCGCTTTGCTGCAGTATAGTCATGGTAGATATCGGTGGAATACTTTTCCCGTTCGAAGTTCAACAAGTGCTCTATCCTCTGAGATATCAAGCTCTTTATGTTACTGGCAAAAGTACGTGTTAGTGGTTATGATGTGTCTCCTCCGTATTTTGAGGCCTCGCCGAGCCTTCTGGAGCTCTCCCAGATGACGAAGCGGGGACAGACTGTAGCGTCCGCCTGGGGATGCGCCATGCATTCCGCTCGGTTCGGTTCGGTTCGGTCTGGAACCGATTCGACTTTTCAAAGGGCATGACGAAGGAGATCGTCGAAGGAATATGTGAAGAGTTGCTGAAGAACGAGAACTACTTATACTACGATATGTATCTCGTTTGGGTACGCAAGAGGAAGGCACAATTGTATATTTAGGTCACGTACTCGAAGGGACACAACAGAAGTGAGCACTCTAACATTCAATGTTCCTCTGCTCTTTCTCCTTCAAAGCAGACTTCATAGTGAATTGAGATGATGATTGGCCTAAACTTTACTATCTACTACTGCGCAATCACGTCGAAATAATGCGACCATATGCTATGTACGTTGAAGAATCATGAGATTTCTTCGTCATCTCCTCGATGCCCATCAAGCGTGTTGAGTTGTCAAAATTTGTCTACCAGGAAGCACCCCGTCTCCTCCCCGTTCCTCGTTCGCCTCCTGAAAATAGAAATACAGCATAACCTCGGTCTCTGGGAAGCGAAAGTGGTAAATGGTGAAGTGATGAATTGAAGAATAGTGAACTGATGCTGGGCGAAGTCGGTATAAGGATACAACGAGCGTCATCCTGGGGGCGACACAGCCGTGTTGCGTTGAAAAGCGAACCTGATGCGAGAGGAAGCGGAAAGCCGGAATAATCCGATAAATAGGTAGATCTTTTTGGTCGTGGGTTGTCGTAAAGTCACGCGCGAGCCGGGTGCTCAGGTTGGGTGAACGGCAGACGGGCGCATCAGAGCCGCTCCTCAAGCGGGCACTCGTTCGCCTCCCTCTCCGCCTTCTTCCCCCGGCGCACAATTTCGTTCCGCGCATCCTTGCCTGCGCGGCTCCACACACCACGCAGTATCCCCTCCATCCCCTCCGCGGTCTGATCTTGCTCCAGGTACATCGCCCGTCTGACCTCCTCCTCGCCCGGAACGAGCCGTACACACCGCTCAAACGTGGTGCGCTTCTTGTTGCCACCAGAGGCAGAGGTGAACGAGACGATAGAGGAGGCCTCGAGCATGTTCAGGACATCGTGGAAATCGTGCGACCCGAGCGCGGGAGGGAGTGTGCCGCCGTACTTGGCGAGGAGGGCAGAGTAGCTGGCGAAGAGCTGGGTAGGGGTGGGCGAGGTGGCCTTGAGGGTCTTTGCGGGTGAGTTAGAAGGACCGGCGGTGAATGCCAGCCCGAGGGAGGAGCGGTAGGACGCGACAAGGAGGGCGAGGAGAATGAGACGCGTGTGCATAGGGAGGGTGCGGACGAGCACCATTGTAGGGCTGCTTGCTGTTGTTGGTGCTGCGGGGCCACTGTTGTTAGAAGGGAAGGTGACGGTCTTGATCGCAGCGAGGATATGGGGCGGGCCGACCTTGACCAGGTCGCAGGCGATGAACGGATTCTCAGCCGTGCGCTTCCTCCACTCCTTCTCAGCCGCGTCGAGTGCCTTCCGCAACACCTCGACCAGTACGCGCAGGTCACCCGTCCTCCCGCCGACACGTCTTGCAGCGAGCTCGAGCGCCTTCCCGTCGATCAAGGTATTATCGGACAGCTTGCAGCGGACGATGCCGGTCATCTGCTCCCATGTGTACGGGGCGAAGCTGACGTGGGTGAGGGAGACGGATGCGGGGAGCTGGGAGGGGAGGGAAAGCGAGTTGGCGATGGTGAGCAGACAGAGGTTGGAGTGCTGTGCAGGGAGGGCAAGGATACTCGAGAGGACAGAGGGGAGGCGGAGGAGGGTGTCAATCTCATCTAGCGCGAGCACACTGTCGACACGTCAGGTGGAGTACTGCGGGCAGAGCAGAGCACTTACAACTTGCACTCCTGCTCATCAACCATTTTCTCAAAGGTTGCCTTGGAGTCCTTCACTTTATCACCTCCCATGGCAGCCCACACCGCGTCCCACACCTCTTTAGCGCTCGCGAGTCCCATGCAGTTGACCATCCCCACCCTGCGGCCGTCCACCTCCACCTCCTCCAGAACCTTCTTGATCACCGCCGTCTTTCCTGTGCCGGGAGTGCCAGAAACATACATCACCCTGCTGTCCTCCCCGCCGTCACCGGCGGTGAGGAAAGGGGCGAGGAAAGCGAGCAGCTCGACGCGCTCGTCTTCGCGTCCCGCCAGCTCAGACGGAGGCGCCTTGAGCGCGCTCCGTGCCAAGCCGTACGCGTTGAGCGTTGGGGACAGCAGCGGCTTGATATCGTCCTCCGAGCCGAGCTGCAGGCGACCCATATCGAGTGAGGGAGTGAGAAGGGGTGTGTCGATCGAGTCCGCTTCTGACTCTGGAGTGAGGGGTGGTGTCGGCGCGTGCAGGGGGATGGTGAGACGCGTCGTTTGCCTGCGCGTGGCAGAGCGCTGCGGGGCGGTCTCGCTTCTCCTCGGCGCGGGCCTACTAGGTGCTCTCTCGCGCTCGCGCGATCCGCCAGAGCGCGTCCTGCTCCTCGTCATGCGCGCGCTATCCTCCAGATCGAGCTCATCGTGCACGCTGATCACGCTAGGGATGGGAGAAGGTGGTGCGCCATAGGGGGGAATGTTTTCCTTGTTTGCGGTGGGGTCGTAGTCGGACAGTGGGGAGAGGGAGGTGCGCGCGCGTTTCAGAGCGGGGATGGGGAGGTGCTTGTTTGTTATTGTGGGGAGGGTGCGGGAGCGCTTGCCTAGGGCCATGGTTGCTATTGTTCGGGTGGGTGGAGAGTGGTGGTGTCGCGGTTACCTATCAGTCGTGGCCGTCGTCGTCGGTCGGGTGGATATCGCAGTGGCTTGAGGTCGTCGTGGTCGAAGTCGCAGTCGTCGGCGGGGCGGTGGTGGTGAAGCAAGTGTGGGTGATCAGCCAGTGCAGTGAAATAAGTAGGCCGGAGCCATCGCGGAATAATGTGACATCCCAGCAGAAGAACACCCTTGCTTCCGCCTCCGGTGTAATGAACCGTAATGCACAAGTCGCGGGCGCGTCGCGTCACGTGCAAACCACCCTCTCGTCAGATGTGTCGCGTCCCACGGGGAACGGTCTGGCTCCGCGGTGTTGGCCACAACTCTCTGGCGCACGCGTCAACGCTGCGGAATGTGGGGCAACCATTGTCACTGCACTTTGACTGATGTATGCACGAAGTGATACTGCTGCAGGGGATGGCGCATTCCATACCAGGAATGCAATCGACTAGGCTTTTCTCTCCATGCCACTGACGTCCCGTACCCTCTGGCAAATTCCCCTACCGCTGTGGCAACAACGCGCCTGGCTCGGAACGCCGACGCCTCTTTGCGACACATGCCACCGCGGTCGGATAGTCGGATTGGTGCTTGGCATACTCTTCCAGCACGGGCGGGCACGTGAATGCGTCCGCTAGATCCTCACCCTTCTGGCGATCTGGACCTCCAGGCTCTACCCTTTACACCCCTGCGCCGGTCCGTTTCGGCGGTCTCCGGGGCTGCGTCTCTGACTCTGGTGGGTGGGATCCTGGATAGCGGCTGAACGCTTCCAATCATCTCTGGCACGTGCTGACAGACACTCGATGCGCAAGTTGTGGGCGAACCTCCAGCGTCACGCCCAGGGGCACCCTTTCTACCCTGCCGCCCTGCGTCGGTGCACTCGTCGCCCCTTCCCTCCTTCTCGTCCTGGTTCTGGTCGGTCGGATGTCCGATCCGAGGACGACAGCTGCAAACATGTGCCGGTGCGTGAAGGCGGGCGTTCGGTCGTCACCCTTGCGGTGATCCCGTCCTCCAGCACCTACCCTGTCTACCACTGCCTCGGCCCGTGGCTACGCTTACAATACCCTACCCTTCTATGTTCATCTGGCACCATCCTCTACCGCGCTGATGCCTGCAGCCTGCTGATAACGCACGGCTCCTCGCCCGACCTCCCCGGCTCCGGACCCTCTCCGGACCCTCAAGAATCGCCCGCAAGCTGACCCCTAACCGTCCGCCGCTCCCGGGCATCTTCTGTCTCACGAACACACCAGCAACTTCCTCCTTCCCAATCCGGGAAGCGCATGCCCTCAACACACGGGCGACAAGTGTCTCAATGAGCACGCCACGTTCCTGCACTGGCCGGGCGTCAGAACAAGCCCGTGCCTGGGCGCCTCGTGTACAGCTACCCTGAGGTCCAGGGGCTTATAACCCGCAGGCGCCGGGCGGGCTCGGGGCACCCCTTGTCTGCATATATCTTGCCCGTTTCCCCCTCTCGTTCGAGCCCGCGCTCTCCCGGCTGAACATGGCGATGTCCAACCCGGCACTCACGCCACCCCTCGCACCGCCCACCACGCCGTCCACCGCGATCGTTGCGGCCGGCAACCCCCCTCCCCCCTCGCCCGCCTCGTCATCGCACTTCTACCCCGCCAGCCCGCGCTTCCTCAGCTCCACCACCTCCCGATCCGGACGCCACGGTCTGTCGAAATCACGCGACCTCCGCCCGCAGCTCCGCC